AAAAGTAATCAACAACATCCGAAGTCACGAGGACTTGGTTAACAACCACGCAACGAGCCGAGGCTAACTTTCTTGAAAATGTAGTCGTCCAACAAATTCTATTCACTGGGTAGGATCCTCGGGATCTCTACCACCTGTTACAATACAGGGATACAGGAAAAATCTATCGCTCTTTCCGGATCCGTGATTTCATTCATCTCCAGCCGACCCTTCTTTCGATACATCAGTTCCCTCCCGCCCCCCCCCTGCACCGTCTCTACCGCTCTAGAGAACTCTCAGAGAGTCGGAGCACAATCGATTCAAGCTTCTGTGAACTATCTTACCATGCTTCTGCGACTCCGCGTTAATCTCTGAATCATCCCTCCGAACGAGGAGAAGCATCTCGCGAGTGTGTTACAAATCACGGAGCGACGAACCGAAAATTTGAAATCCTGAAGTCAAAGAGTTTGGCAGCCAGATGAAGGAGAAGTAGAATCTAGTCAGTGCAAAACTAGGTAACTGCATCGTCTAGAACAACTGAACAATTGCGAATTAAGTAATTAGAAAGTTCACAATTCAAAAATTTCACAAGTCACCGATAAATCATCGAAAGTTAAAATTTAACAAACCTGGATCAACGACAAAACTTACCCTTAGCCTTTCCTTTTATATACCGCTACGACAAAAACGTTTTCCCTCGAAGTGACAGTCAGATCCGCGTTCTCGCGATAAAACGGAACAATCGAATCCAAAGGCTGAGCCTCGCCTTGGAGCAACCTCAATCTCACCCCGAGAAAAAAGGTTCATTTCGACGCAAAGCGAGCAGACGTTGCAACCGGTTGGTGGATGCAACCGTGGAAATTGTTGCAAGCAACGGTGAAAATTTTCCGAGGTCGATCTCGCGGCGACGCGGAAACGTGGTCTAATTTAAGAAACATTCGAGCAGGGGGGGAATCGCGTCGCTCGCGTAGCAGCAGTTGGTCGATCCAGCCAAGCGAAATGTGCGTTTGCCCTGGTGCGAGCTGAACACCGGCCATAAGGTAACTCGGCTCCTCCGGAGGAGTAGCGCTGCGAACGAGCAGCGAGGCTCGTAAGGTTGCGGCGAAACGACTTGGTAGGAGTTGCATTTTTATCCGGCTCTGCCCCCTCCTTCCCCTCTGGTCTCTGTCGACGTAGCAGATGAAAGCGGTTATGCCGGCTTCGTATATTGCCTCGTCCTTTTGTCTACCCGGCAGCCGCGTGAGCAAACCACCCTCTCCCTCTCTTTCATACTCGGCCCACCTTGGTTTTTCCATCTTTCGCCCTCCTTCGTACGCGACGACCTCAAAGCTAGTTCTATTTCTGGTGCCATCCGACTCGTATACTCGAGTAAACTGGCATTCGACCAAATGCCGTGATACAACCGAGCCCCTGCCACACGCTGTACATTCTTCTCATCCCCTAACGTCATGACCCACCCTTCCGCGTCCTTCCCCCTCTTTCTTTCTCTCTCTCTCTCTCTCCATACCGTGGACCATTACGCTCTACCCGTGTGTCGCTTACGTTATTATTGTATAAATCAGCCGCACGCGGCGCTGAATTTTCTTCTCGTTACGTTCGAAGCCGATTTTCAGCGAACCTGCGCGCCGCCTGCATCGATTTACCTTCGACAGTGTGACCGAGCGATTTCCCCCTCCCCCC